AGAATTGGTCTGAAATCAACAAGATGAAATTCAATAAAGACAAGTGCAAAATCCTTTACTTAGGAAGCAAAAATCAAATATCCAGCTACAAAATGAAGAATAACTGGCTAGGTAGTAGTACTGCTGAAAAGGATCTGGGGGTTACAGTGGATCACAAATTGAATATGAGTCAACAATATGATGCAATTGTGAAAAAGGCTACTATCATTCTGGGGTGTATTAACAGGAGTGTTGTATGAAATACCCACGAAGTAATTGTCCTGCCCTACTTGGCACTGATGAGGCCTCAGCTAGAGTATTGTGTCCAGTTCTGGACACCACACTTCAGGAAAGCTGTGAATACATTGAAGAGAATCCAGAGGAGACCAACATGATAAATGATAAAAGGTTTAGAAAACCTGACCTATGAGGAAAGGTTTAAAAAACTGGGCATGTTTAGTCTTGAGAAAAGAAGACTGAAGAGGGGACCTGAGAAGAGACTTCCAATATGGTAAGGGCTGTGTGATGCGGTGTTCCCCCACTTTGGAAAGGAAGGGGTTAAAAGCAGTCGGGGTGGGGGTGGGGGGGGGGGAAGGGCTGTGCAGGGAGCAGCCAATCAAGGCCCAGCAGTATTACATAAAAGGAGCTGCAGAGCAGGGTCAGTGGCTTCAGGGAGCTCAAGGTGAGAGGACTGTCTTCCTTGTGGGGTGCAGGAAAGTAGAACCTTGGATAGAGCTGTTGCTGGCAGACACTGAGGGAGCAAGAGGGAGCTACTAAGTTGCTGTGGGGACTTGTGGGCTGGGGGCCCTGAGAAGAGGGTGAAGAAGGGGCTGGGGCTGGGGCTGCGGGGAAGTGGCCCAGGGAATAGAAGCAGCATGGAGTGGAGTTAAAGAGATGCAGCAGGAAGCTGCTACCTACAGTGTCCCTGAGTCAGGACCCAGAGTAGTGGGCAAACCTGGGTCCCCACCGCTCGGCACTGGGGAAGTGGCTTGTGTGACAATGGTGCCCGTGGGAGCCAGCTGAGGTCACTCAATTAGAACTGCAAACAGAATGGGGCGGACAAACCCCAAGCGCTGGTGGATATTTCAATATTTATATTTACCAAGCCAGAACAAAACAGCTTCTGTATTACCTCACTGGATACTCAGAAGTCCAAACAACACAGTTCCTTTAAAGTGTCCAGCTTCAGGCCTCCATCCAGGTACACATGTCCAATATGATGTCAAGGTTCCTTCCCCACTCTGAACTCTAGGGTACAGATGTGGGGACCTGCATGAAAACCTCCTAAGCTTACTTTTACCAGCTTAGGTTAAAACTTCCCCACGGTACAAATTATTTTACCCTTAGATTTCCACTGCCACCACCAAACTTTATCTGGGTTCCTGAAAAAACATAGTTTGGACACATTTTTCCCCCCAAAATCCTCCCACCCCTATCACCCCACTTCCTGGGGAAGGTTTGGTAAAAATCCTCACCAATTTGCATAGGTGACCACAGACCCAAACCCTTGGATCTTAGAACAATGAAAAAGCATTCAGTTTCCTTACAAGAAGACTTCTAATAGAAGTAAAGGAATCACCTCTGTAAAATCAGGATGGTAGGTACCTTACAGGGTAATTAGATTCAAAACATATAGAATCCCTCGAGGCAAAACCTTAAGTTACAAAAAGGACACACAGACAGGAATATTCATTCCATTCAGCACAGCTGTTTTCATACCACTCCATTGACACAGGTAATGCTCAGCCAATTAAAGTCCAACCTTACGGGGTGTCTCCTCAAGCTAAGACTGCTATAGACTGGGAGATCCAGGATACGTTACAGATGGGTGTAATCCGCCCCTCTGGAAGTGCATGAGCATCTCCAGTGGTTCTAGTTCCCAAACCAGATGGGGAGATACGTTTTTGCGTGGACTACCGTAAGCTAAATGCTGTAACTCGCCCTGACAACTATCCAATGCAACGCACAGATGAACTATTAGAGAAACTGGGACGGGCCCAGTTCATCTCTACCTTGGACTTAACCAAGGGGTACTGGCAGGTACCGCTAGATGAATCCGCCAAGGAAAGGTCAAGCCTTCACCACACATCTTGGGCTGTATGAATTTAATGTATTCCCTTTCGGGCTGCGAAATGCACCCACCACCTTCCAAAGACTTGTAGATGGTCTCCTAGCAGGTTTAGGAGAATATGCAGTCTCCTACCTTGACGATGTGGCCATATTTTCGGATTCCTGGGCAGAACACCTGGAACATCTACAAAAAGTCCTTGAGCGCATAAGGGAGGCAGGACTAACTGTTAAGGCGAAGAAGTGTCAAATAGGCCTAAACAGAGTGACTTACCTTGGACACCAGGTGGGTCAAGGAACTATCAACCCCCTACAAGCCGAACTGGATTCTATCCAAAAGTGGCCTGTCCCAAAGTCAAAGAAACAGGTTCTATCCTTCTTAGGCTTGGCCGGTTATTACAGATTGTACCGCAATACAGCCAAATCGCCGCCTCACTGAGAGACCTAACCAAAAAGAAACAGCCAAATGCCATTCAGTGGACCGAAGAGTGTCAGAAGGCCTTTAACCAGCTTAAAGCGAACTCATGTCTGACTCTGTACTAAGGGCCCCAGATTTTGACAAACTATTCCTTGTAACCACAGATGCGTCCGAGCGTGGTGTGGGAGCAGTTTTAATGCAGAAAGGACCGGATCAAGAATTCCACCCTGTAGTGTTTCTCAGCAAAAATCTTTCCGAGAGGGAAAGCAACTGGTCAGTCAGTGAAAAAGAATGTTACGCCATTGTCTACGCTCTGGAAAAGTTACGCCCATATGTTTGGGGACGGCATTTCCACCTGCAAACCGACCATGCTGCGCTACAGTGGCTTCATACTGCCATGGGAAATAACAAAAAACTTATTCGGTGGAGTTTAGCTCTCCAAGATTTTGATTTCGACATCCAACACATCTCAGGAGCTTCTAACAAAGTGGCTGACGCCTCTCCGTGAAAGTTTCCCAGAATCAACTGATTAAAATCGTCCTTGAGATGTGGAAAATATTGTTAGTCTTTATGTACTTGGTAGTATATTTAGAGGTGCGTGTGTCGTATTAACTCTGTTTTTTCCTAGAGCTCCAGGAAGAAATCCCAGCCAGCGTTTCACCCTAGCTGAGATTTGGGGGGCGTGTCATAAATATAAAGGAAAGGGTAAACCCCTTTAAAATCCCTCCTGGCCAGAGGAAAAATCCTTTCACCTGTAAAGGGTTAAGAAGCTAAAGGTAACCTTGCTGGCACCTGACCAAAATGACCAATGAGGAGACAAGATACTTTCAAAAGCTGGGAGGGGGGAGAAAAACAAAGGGTCTGTGTCTGTCTGTGTGATGCTTTTGCCGGAGACAGAACAGGAATGGAGTCTTAGAACTTAGTAGGTAATCTAGCTAGGTATGTGTTAGATTATGATTTCTTTAAATGGCTTAGAAAATAGCTGTGCTGAATAGAATCAATATTCCTGTCTGTGTGTCTTTTTGTAACTTAAGGTTTTGCCTCACTGAACTCAAATACTTTCCTGATGGACTGCATTTTCTAACAGACAACCTGCCCTAAATTCTCAATTACTGAGGGACAATCTCCACTCATGGATATATTTTGCTTTCTGCCCCCAACTCTCTGTAAAACTTTTTTTCATGAGTGATGTACCCAAATACTTGGATGCTAATATCTAAACTATATTGTTAAATCTATTCTCTAAATTTGGGTTATTGCTGATTATGTACTTCATGTATTTTTGACGTTTTAAACAAACTTTGTATTTGTGGATAATCTAAGCACTATACCCAAATGTACACACACTCTTTTCCTAACCTGTGCATTATGTACATTTTTAACATTAGCTTTAATAAAATTTTTATACCCTGGCAACTCTGGGTTCAGCTTCGGACCTGGTTTGTGTGGACCTTCTGGGTGCTGTGCACCTCTGTGCAGTGCTTGGTCAAGCTCAATTGGGCCCTGACTGAACCCATCACCTTCAGATGAGGGGTGTGTGTGTATAAGGGAGGCCTTCTGTACTGCCAGCTCTACTCTGTAGACATTGATTCCTCTACCGATGGCGTTGGTGCTCAGAGACAGCTGTGGCCAGAGCTTTGCCTGTGGCTGGTGTTTCAGAGAGTACCACCAGGTATCTTGTCTCTGGTCTGATCTTGGGTCACAGGGCTGCCAAGTCTTGAATCTCTCTCAGGACACTCAGGCATCAGGCAGCCCTGTCCCACCTGCCCACAGCTCCCTCTGAACATCAGACATTTGGCAGAGCTGTGGACAAGGGCTGCACTTGTGCATTGTGTCTTCTAGAGACCAGTGTGGCACCGGCTGAGCAAGCAGCTGGTCACCTTCTGTCCTGCTATTCCTTGCTCTGGCTGGGTCCTGGGTAGGAAGGAGCAAAGAGAGGTGGGAGCAGCATAAGCTGGGAGGCCCAGTATTGGTGCCCGGCCCCCACCAATCCCTGCACCAGAAGTGCACACCCTCCCCGCCCAACCTACCAGCAGCCACCCTCTCACAGTCACCAGCACCACCCCCTCCCTTCAGCCGTTGCCACCCTCATCCCAGCACCAGCCATCCCAGCACTGACCCAGCAGTCAGCAATGCCCATCTCCAGTAATCCCAGCACTCATCCACCCCATACTCCCAGCCATCCCAAGGTGCCCCAGCACCCACCCAGCGACTCAGAGAGCCACCAACTTCCCCCAGGCATAGCTGCCAAGTTTTGTACAGCAGTGTCATACCCCTGCCACTGCTTGGGCCAGGATGTGATCCCCACAAGCTGAAGCCTGTTATTATGTGAACTTATAAATGTACAAATTATCTCAGTAAGTAACTTGGATAAAATGTGACACATGGAATTGCACAAAACGTGGTAGCTGTGGGTAGATGGAAAGGTGTTTTTGTGCAGTCACTGGGTGCACTTAATTGTTGGGATCACAACTTTATGATGTCCAGAATTTAGCGTTAATCCTCTAATGTTCTTGTTCCCATTTCAGATAGTTCCTAATAGACTCATGATGAGCAGAAAGACACTGAGTGACGTCCTCGTGCAGGGACTGGAGGATCTTGCAGAGCAAGACTTTAAAAAATTTAGACACAAATTATCTGAGTTTGCCTTTGATGACAAACCCTCAATCCCCTGGAGTAAACTGGAGAAGGCTGACAGGATAGATGCTGCGAGACTCCTGAAAGAACACTATGGTCAGGAGAGTGCTGTGGACGTAGCTATCAAAATCTTCTCTACCCTCAATCTCAACAACTCTGCCTTGAAACTCGAACAGGGAAAAAAGACAGGTAAAAAAATCCAAAGTGACTCTGACTCCTGAGTTATTTCTCCATGCATATCCCCCACAGCAGCTGTAGCAGGAGCAGCAGCAAACTAATGACAACTAAGAGATTCCACAACCTGAGGGGAGTCAGAGTGAATCAGGGGAAACTGCAGAGCAGGTGAGGCCTGACCTCCCAGATTACACATGCATTTTTAGGAATATAGGAGCTACCATGCTACCACTGGTCCATCCAGTCCAGTATTCTGTCTCTGACAGTGGCCCCTGCCAGATACTTCAGAGGAAGGTGCTAGAAATCCTACAGTTATAGGATAATCTGCCCATAGAGTGAGTTTCCTTGTGACCTCAATAGTAAGGCAGATATGGGGGGAGTTGGGGGAGGGATTAGGTCTTATGCCCTGAAGCACAAGTTTATATCCTTTCCAGAACTCTTGTTCGTTTTTTAAATGTTTACTATTATAACTAGATAGGCCTATTATCCCTATAAATAATAATTCTTTGTTTAATTCTGCTAAACTTTCAGCCTCAATACACTGTGGCAATAAGTTCCACAGGCTAATTAAGCATTGTGTGGAAAATTTATTTTTATCAGTTTTTAATTTGCCGTCTTTCAAGTTCATTAAATGTCCTCTTGATATTGTATCAGACTGGGAACTTCTATTCCCCCTGTCTTCTATCTTCTCTATACTAGACATTGTTTTGTCATGACTGTTTTCTCATTTGTCTTCTCTCAAAGGCAAAGAGTTCTAGTCTGTTGGGTCTCTTCATTTGAGTTTTTCCACGCCCCGAATCTTTCTTGCTGTTTTCTCTGAACTCCCTTTGATTCTGCTATGTACTTTTGGAGTTGGGATGAACAGTATTCCTGGTTAGGGCCCACCACTGATTTATGTAATGCCATGTATTTTGTGTATTTTTTCCACCCTGTTTCTTATGTAATCTAACATTTTGTCTGATTTTTGTACCACTGCTACACATTGAGCAGAAGTTGTCACTGAGCTATCAGCAGTTGCCATTGAGCTGTCCATAGTGAAGCCCAGGTCTTTTTCCTGAGTTGAAGGGGCAACTTGGATTTTCCAGGGCTTAATTTGGCTTTTGTGAACCAACTTGAAGATGGGGCTTTGCCTTCCCTCCAGCACTTTGATTTCATATGCTACAAGGGAGATTTTGCCTGTGGTGAGGTAACGCCCTTTCCAACTAGGTTGGAACTTTTTGACCCTTCTCGTCTTTTTGATATAGTCAAAATAAAATACCCTGTCCCAGTATGATGTTCCCTCAGAAGCGTTTGTATCATAACAAGGCTTTTGTTCCTGGGCACTCTCCTCTGGCTTCTGTCAAGCAAATGAAAATATGGTTTTGCAAGAGATGCTTTAATTCTACTAAGCATTGTTGGATGACCGTTTGTAACTCTTGTGTCTGGAGTCTGGAATAGCAGATTCATGGGGAGGACTCTAGTCATACCTGTCAGAAGCTTGAAAGGGGTGACATTTGTGGATTGTTTGGAATTGATCCCATGGCCAATTAATGCTAGTGGCAGTTTCAGGTCTCAGCCAGTGGTGGGCATTTTCTGAGGCCAATATCTTCATGATAAATATCCTTGTCCGGTTCATGTACTTGACCTATCTGGAGGATTGAGGGTGATGTAGAATATGGAGCTTCTGTTTTAGTCCTGGTGTCTTGCACAGCATATGTATCACCTCTGAGATAAAGTGAGATCCTCTGTCTGAGTTTCTGCCAAGGGGCAGACGCCATCTACTGAAAACATGATTGAGTGGTAGTGTGGCTGTTGTATGAGCTGTATCATTGGCAGGTAAACCTTCCTCCCACTCTGAGAACTGGCAGGTTATTGTGAGCATATACGGATTTCATTGGGAGGAACGGGTCTCTGGGCCCACCCCGTCAGTTTGAATGTCTGACATGGGGAAGGAGATTCCCTAGCCCTGTGGGGTGCACGGTGTGTAGGTTGTGCAGGCTGGAACTTAATGCAGCTGAGGCTTCCCTGGACACAGCTAGCTACTTTCTTACTCCGGTCAGAAGGACTCTGTTTCAGATGATCATACATGGTCTGGGGGCAGGGATGTCCTCAGCATGTCTCACTATGTGCATGGAGTAGCATAATCCCACAGTAGGACATGGATACCACATGCTGGGGAATGTGGTTTCATTCATGGCTGTAGGTCAGGGTTAGTCTGAATAAAAAATCCTCTCTCTTAGATTGAACATGGTCTCTGGTTGTTCATCCTTTTGCCAGTTTCTCAGATGTGATAGGATGGGTAACAGGGTCCTCTATGTATTGATAAAGCTTGGACACCATTAGGTCCTTTTAGATGTGCCTCTGCAAAGTTTTCATAGGCAAAGACCAGGGTGCTTTGAGAGGATCCTGTCTTCAGGAGTGACTACCATGGTTTCCGGTTCCCAGTGCTTAGCAGGCTCTTGGGTAACTATGGTTACTGTAGCTTTAGGAAGACCTTGGAAATCCAGGGAGTGCAAGTCAGGGCTCTCACCCAGGTTAGCTGATCAGCCATATCATTCCCTGTTTGTCAGGGCCTTTCTTCTTCCAATAGATTCCCAGGTCATTATCCTGAACTGATTGATCCACTGTGGAGATTAGTTTGGTGCGAGCATGATCTTTAATTCAACTGTGGAACTTATTGCCAAGAATTTAGTAAGATTCACAGAAAGATGGGATGTTTATATGGATAACAGGAATATCCAGAGTTGTAGTTAATGCTAGAAAATGAGTTTTGGAAGGGATATAAAGCCTCATACTTCCTGGTTTAAATCAATCTCTACTAGGAACCAGGAGGAGCCCTTCATGAAGGGCAGAGGAGCCCACATCTGCTCACTTCATGGTTATTGTACTCTCCTCTGAAACATCTGGATCTGGCCTCCTTTGGAGACAGGAAACTGGACTACATGGGCCTTGGGTCTGATCCATTATGTGCATTCCTGGGTCCTTATGCTTCACTAGGGTGGGTTTCCATTTTCAGAAGGGTGTCTGTTTGACTCCAGTAATCTTTCTCAACTTGCTGTTTAGCCATATTGGTTCATTTCTTGCCTTCCTGTTTCCTTTTATTTATGGCCATTCATGCTTTTTTGACTATCATGGTGTGAGGACGCAAAGCAGAGAAATTGCCATCTGGCACAGTGGGGGTTAAAGAAAATCTTTGGGTTCAGCTAGCCCCACCCCACTATACCTGCGGCCAATGCCAGGCCTGGAGAGGGGGAGAAAAGAAGGGAGCCTGGCTCAGTTGGGGACTGAGCATGATAACTGACAAGGAGACAGGAGCTCTCTGTCTGCCTGCCCGAAGCGGTGGATCAGCAACCTGCCAGCCAGCACAGCCACTTGAGGCAAGTAAGGGCTCCCCTGCCAAGGGGAGGCTGCAAACAAGCCCCAGCACTCAGGGCAATTGGACTAGTGGGGCCATACCCCACACTGAAGAGACTTGTAGGAAGTAGCCCAGGGAAGCGGGTCTCAACTCCTCACCAGGAGGGAGACCCATCTCCCCTGTTTAGAGGGTTGATCTACACAGGGCCCTGGGCTGCGACTCAGTAGAGAGGGAGGGTCCAGGTCCCCCTACACTCACACTCTTAGCTGGTCTTTCAGTCTGTAAGGCCAGAGATCTAGCCACTAGGCCACTTTGCCACAGAAGATCCTATCAGAGAGGCTGAAACCAGTCCATCACTGCTCAAAGGTGGTCCAAATGAAATCAGACTCTGTGTCACAATTGTTATGACTTGGCAGGCATTCAGCCCCCTGAAAATATTGGCGTTTACTCAACTAGACCTAAGGCAATTTCCATAACCTGCTTTCTTACTGTATTCATTAGCGAGTTTACAAGGCTGCTATCTGAAAATCTGTACATGCCTGAGGCCGTTTTTTCCCTTCAACTGAAATCTGATTTGGAAGAGCAAGGTTGCAGTTGTTACTAATAATCTTAATCTGAGACCCAGAGCTGCTGTATGCAATGTAGTTGTAGCCTCATCCAGAGCTGCTGCACATTGTTGACCTGGAACTCCTCAGCCCTGATTCCTGGGGTTGTACCGCTCGCTAAATGTGCACAGGTGGGAATGGGTTGAGGCACCCTGAAGAAGAAGGAGAAGTTACCTATCAGTAACTAGTTCCCTCTGCGAATTCACAGTCCCCACCCACCTCACTTCTTTAGAGTCGTAGGTTAAGTATTCCTGAATTAGTGGAAGAGCGGTGGGGGACACTCCCCACTTTATGCCCTAGGAACCCTGCATGAGGGAGGGAAAGAGAGGAGTGGCCCCAGTGAATATTGCTCTTTAGAGGATTTTGGAAGCTCACAGCACAGTTCCTTTGCAGGAACACGCTTGAACAACCCCCAGTTACTGTTCAATAATTTCTCTTTAAGCACCTGAAAACAGGGGCTAAGGATGAAAATTCTGTCACATCCAGAAATAATAGCATTGTGTTAGCCACACAACATTCCAGGAGGATGTGGTGTTAGGAGCACACTAATGGGCCTGATTGTAAACTGCTTTATACTTTGTGTAGCCATTAATCTCTGTGTAAAATGAGCACTCAGTGGATGTTCAATGCTCCATTCAGTATACGCTGAGTGGAGATTTCTGATTTGGTAGCTATTTGTAACCCCTTTGCACTCACTGGGCTCAGTCCTCAGCTTCTGCTAGAGCAGCACCTGATGCAGCTGATGGCGGGAAGACAAAGTAGAGGTTTTACAGTAGCTCATTCTGGCAGCGGAGCCATAAGGATCCATTCAGGCAGCTGGCAAGGCACACGCTCTTTCCCCAGCCACGCCCCCAGCACCGCTCCTACGCTGATGTGCAGTGGGGTACTGCTGGTTACATCGGCCTTCCCTGTCCCTCTCCCTAAGGATTCCCCCACACACTGGAAATCCCCAGGAGGCTGCTTACGATGGCTCTATGGCCCTCCGGTATCCTCAAAGAGGCACAAATAAGCCATATCAAGGCTGATGATGTGGTACGCTTTGCACAGGTATAAATGGCTACCCAAGGTGCAGGACAGTGGTGAATCAGGCTCCCTGTTTTCAGGTATTAAAAATTTCTATAAAATATTATTTGTGGATTAAATTCCTCATGCCATGTGACAGCCCAAAAATAAGTTTTAGGAAGTATCATAATAAATTTACCCTCTTGAGCTGCTTACCTGTGGGCGGAAATTGGTCTATTAAAAAAAATTCTGTCCTGCTTATTATATATAAAGAAGGCTTGAGTGTTTAAAGTGTTTTTTGTTCAACTGAAGCTTCTGATATACAGTTGCAAGAAAAGATATCTTCAGAACTAATGCCCCTTTAATTATAGGACTGAGAAAGCTTCCAAACCACTTATCTGGGCTTGCAGTGAGACCCCTGCCAAAATTGGGGATGACTAAATGCAGCAGTATTGAAATTTCTATTTTTTTCTTTTTAGAAGAAAACCCCCACTTTGTTAATGTTATTTGTCTTGTTCTTTGGTGGGTTGCTTCCAACCCTTTCAGATTGTTTTTTTGTTTTTTATAATAATACCCAGCTCTAATATAGGGCCTTTCATTAGCAGATCTCAGTGCTCAAATATCATTAAGAAAGACACTATGGCTGTGTCTACTTAGAAATGTAAGCCTAGGGTTCGTGGGATTTGAGTCAGCTGACCCATGTCAGGGAACCCTGGGTTTGAGCACCTACACTGCATTTTAACCCTAGGTTAAGGATTTTCTGACCTGTGCTTGAACCTAGGTTCTAGACTCCACACTGCAGTGCACAGACCTGAGTCAAAGTAACCCTATCCCAGAGTGCCTGGTGCCCCCCCCATCCCAGAGTCAGCACTCTAGCCCTACGAATATGTTCCATTGTGGGGAAAAACTAATGCCCACCCTATCTGTTAACTGTAATGGTGCTGTTGATGGGATTCAGGCGCCCATAAGGACACATGAGTACATCAACTGCATAATTAGAGCCTTTGGTGGCTGTCTCAGTAGAATGACTGCAGTTTGTGAAGGCTTGATACTGAACTACCATCTAATCTGAGAGTTGGGCTCTCCACCTCTCGGCTGAGTCACACTGGCAGGAAAATTCCCATGTGCTCCTAGTCTGTGGATAATTATGATGTCAGTCTTCAGGGCTGCCAAACTATTAAATGAAACTTTGCAATTCTTAATTTTTAAAAATGGGCTATTCAATGAAGCTGTTTTTGTTTGGGTTTTTTAATTTATTTTAGTCTGTTTTGAAGTTTGACATAAAATGACGGTATCAGAGGAAAAACACCCCCTCCCCCAGGCTGGCTGCTGCCGGCTACGGACTGCTGCTGTGTTTCCCCGGGGCTTGGGGTGAAGTGTGCTCCACCTCCCCACCCCGCCAAGGATCCCTTATCCCTGCCCCCACTGCACCCCGGGAGGCAGAGATAAAGGATCCCTGGAGTTTGTGGGGAAGTTTTGGGACTGCTCCCACTCATTGCCCTCACAGCGCACACTGCCCAGGCATCGCTAAACATGCAGCCCCAGGGAGGGCAGTAGGGGCCTGGGAGCAAGGGTCAGAGAGTAGAGTGGGACCAAGTGGCTGCCCTGCAGGGAAGGGATAAAGCTGAACATCCTGGCAGCTGGGAGCCATCTCCCACCTCTCAGCTTTGTTCCTGGCAAGCTCTGAACAGCGGCAAGGAAGAGCTGGAGCGAAAGCCGCCGCCACCACCATAGGAGTGTGATGGGGTGCACTAGGCCCAGAGGCCCCCTGCTGGAGGCCTCAGGATCCTGCCACTCTTGTCCCAGGAAAGGAGTAGTAGAGGAGTCCCCCAAGCAGCCTAGAGTGGCTTCAGGGGACACAGCCAATCAAGGCACAGGAAGGCCATCTAAAAAGGACCTGCAACGCCAGACACCGGCAGTTCCTTGCTGGAGCCAGAGGACTGGCCAAAGGGAACTGCAGCACCATGGACAGATCTGTGCCAGCTGGGACTGGGGGAGCGAGCGAGAGAGGTCCTGGCTGGCAGCTTAGTTAAAGGGACACAGCGGCGTGTGGCAGCTATTCTTAGGGTCGCTAGGCTGGGACTTGGAGTAATGGGTGGACTTGGATGCCCCCCATAGGCCACTGGGAAAGTGTCCTATAATTGGACAGCCATAACTCTCAAGAAGGGGATCTGAACTACGTAGTGGCCTGGCTGAAGAGCTGGGGCCAGAAGGGCGCACAGAGGATGTATCTATTGCTGCCAGGGAGGAGCCCTGGGGCTACGGCCTGATACCGGGACTGGAGCTATTTAAAGACTGAAGATGCACCCGACCAGAAGGGGCACTCGTGAGAGGTCAGTGCCAGGCCGTTACAAGGAGGCTGCGGGGAAGGTTTGTGGCTGGTTCCCACTTACCATCCTGACCATGCCACAGCTGGGGCACCCCTGCACACGCAGCCCCAGGGGGCTCGAGAGCAAGGGCCAGAGAGCACAGTGGGAACAAGCGACTGCCATGCAGCAAGGAGGAGCTGGAGCTGCTACCACTGAGGGAGGCAGTGGGGGAATTTGGGGGACTGACTCCCACTCAGTCCCCTGACAGTGCGTGCAGCCCAGGCAGCCCTGCACATGCAGCCCCAGAGGGGCTAGGGGCAAGGGCCAGAGAGTGGAGTAGGGACCAGGCAGCTGCCCTGCAGGGAAGGGGAGCAGCAGGGCTCCCGGCTCAGCATGGCCAGGAGAGGGAAGACTCCCAACATCCCAGTGGCTGGGATCTGCCTCCTGCCTGGCAGCTTTGCCCCTTGGTTCGGGGAAGCTCTGTGCAGCAGCGAGGAGGAGCCAGAGCAGGAGCTGCTGCCACTGGGAGAGGAGCAGGGATCATGGTTAGGCCAGGCAGTAATGGAGCTTCCGGCTGCTGGGCTGGCTGCCTGCAGCGCTGCTCCTCTGCCACCAGGATCTCTGGGATACACCCAGAGGGCTTCCAGTACCCAAGGCAAGCCAGGGCTATGTGCACACAGGAAAGCAATAGGGCTTGGATCCTAGGTCCCAGCTTAACACGGGCTCAAACCCTCCAGCCCTGCAAGGTCCTGGGACCCTAGATCTGAGGCCTAGGTTAGCACAATTGGTGCATGGACACAAGGGAGGTTAGACTGAGCCCAGGCTTACATTGCTGTGTAGACATACCGTACATGGCTACTCCAGTGGTTTTAAAAAAAAGAGTATTGCTTCTGGTGGACGTTTTGAACAAGTCATTGAACCAGTGTCGCCAAAGAAATTCTCTTTGCCTGCCTCAATCGTGGGTTTACTAGGGAGCTTATTACTGCAGAGAGCCCTGAATGAATGACTTGTCCCAATGTCCTGAACTGCGTGATACTCTGTGATTTTTGTTGCACTAACATTCATGTGAAATTTCTCTTTCAGCTTTGGGTCCTCAGCAAACTCCTGAAACATCAGCAAATGGTATGTGACATTCAATAAGGAATTGCATTGCGTAATTACCAGCGATTACCAGCATTAGGCTAGGTCAGCCAGACATTGGGTTTACTAGTAGAAATAATAAGTAACCCCTCAGAGCGCAGTCTCGTCAGATCACACCGGTTACGCAGGGTTGGATGGGGGATGAGGAAATGCATGGGGAGATCTCCAGGAAAGAATCAGGGGCTGCAGAACATGGTGCTGGTGAGGAGGTGGAGCACTTGTCTCAGGCAGGACTGACCCCGTGCAGCAGCATGATGCTGGAAGGCCCTGTCCTGCTAGGGACGCCATCTTTTAAATGAGTCGAAATAACGAGAGGTCAACATTTGCGGTCACTGAAAGTGCTGTGGGACTTTTTTAAACCTCTGAGCCCTGGACAAATTTTAAGTTATATTTAGTTCTGTTCTTTGCACCTAAATTCCCATTACTGTTTCAGTTATACCTGTCATTCTCCATCACTTTATTACAGAGTGCCATTGTGCACTGTTAAACACCTGACAGGTTTCACCCTAGATATAGCGACATTTCAGTACCTGATGAAGTGATTCTTATATATATAAATGCACAGAGTGCACGAGCCTATGCTTTTTTTCCTCATAAGACTAATTTCAGTGGGGCCACTGCTGTGAGTAAGGACTGGGTCCAGAGTTAATTTATATCAGGATATCTTATAATGAAACATGCACTATTAACTTACAGAAACAGTATTATTGTTTAAATAGCATTATTGTAGCATTACAGTAATATCTAATGCTTCATGTCACTAACTCAGCTTACAGAGAGAAGTATAGAGAACATATACGAAACAAATACAGCGCAATAAAAGACATGAACACTCGTCTTGGTGAGAATGTGAAGCTAAACAACAGATACACAAAGCTGATCATTGTAAATGAACATCGTCACAAAAAGCAGAGAGAACATGAAATAATGGCCTTGGGACGGAAACATGCAGAAATCATGGCTGAGCATGCTAGTCCTATCACCATAGCCAATTTATTTGACTCTGATAAAGATGGACAGTCACCACAAATTGTCGTGCTGCAGGGAGCTGCAGGGATTGGAAAAACACTGACAGCAAGAAAGATCATGTTGGACTGGGCAAATGAAGAACTGTATCAGAGCAGGTTTGATTATGTTTTCTACATAAATTGTAGGGAACTTAACTTTGTCAGTGAGCAGGGACGTGTTGAAGATTTGATCTTCAAGAACTGTCCTGATCAAAATGCACCAACTAAAGAGATTTTGATGAATCCAGAAAAACTCCTGTTCATAATTGACGGTTTTGATGAACTGAGTTTTTCCTTTAATCGGTCAGAAAGTAATTTCTCCTTTGATCCCTGTGAGAAGCAGCCAGTGGAAATTATACTGAGCAGTTTATTTAGGAAAAAAGTGCTTCACAAATCCCACTTAATAATTACTACAAGGCCAACAGCTCTGGAGACACTCAGGCAGTGGTTGGGAGATGAACGTTGTGCATATGCAGAGATCTTGGGATTTTCTAAAGATGAGAGAAAAGAATATTTCTACAACTTCTTTGACAATGAAGAACAAGCAATAAAAGCCTATAACTTTGTAAAAGATCGTGAAATGCTCTTCACCATGTGCTTTATTCCCATTGTGTGTTGGATCATCTGCACTGTTCTGAAACAACAGATGGAAGCAGGTGAAGATCTTGCACAAACTTCAAGAACGGTCACTGATGTCTACATGCTCTATCTCTCCAGTCTGATGAAAGGTCACAGCAGTAATTCAAAGCAACAGATACAAATGAACTTGAAGGGACTTTGTTCCTTGGCTGCAGATGGAGTAAAGAGGCAGGAAATACTCTTTAAGGAAGATGAAATCAAGCAGCATGGCTTAGATACAGCTGACTCTCTCTTTCTGAATGAGAACATGTTTCAGAAAGACATTGGCTGTGAATATGTCTACAGCTTCATTCACTTGAGTTTTCAAGAATTTTTTGCAGCTTTATCTTGTGTGTTGCAGAAAGAAGAAACAACAGTGGAAGATTCAGAAACTATTCTGAAAAATGTCAAGATGTTGTTGAAAAGGGATACAAACAATGGGAATTCTTCCACATTAACAGTGCGATTCCTGTTTGGTCTTTTAAATGATGCGAGAAAGGAGGATTGGGAGAAAATACTTAGCTGTAAAATTTCACCACTAATTAAAGAAATTTTACTAAAGTGGGTTGAAGAAAAACCCATTTTGTCATTGTTCAGTTACGTTGGTGAGAAGACTATTTCCTATCTTGAGGAGTTGCACTGTTTGTATGAAATTCAAGAAAAAAAATTTGTGCAGAGTGCAATGAATCGTTACACTGAGCTAAAATTAACTGACCATTACTTTACCAAAATGGATCAAATTGTTCTTTCATTCTGTGTAAAGCATTGCTGTAAACTGGAGTCACTTCATCTAAGTGTGTGTTCCTTTCAAATGGAAGATGAAGATATGCCAAGACTGTGCAAGCAGCCACATTGGTGAGTGTTGTCTGAGCTCCAAAAACACCTACATAATTTAAGTAGTAAAACATGCGTTATTTTTTAAACATTGATTTCCCTCCCCCCTAGATTTTCATAGCTCACAAATGGCTGAATGACCCACCATAAAAGTGACAGACATTAAGACTGTGGTAGGACCACTCCCCATTCACCAAAAATCTTAAAGCATGGAAATAAGAAGTTAAAGGGAAAGACTTGTGCACTCCTTTCCACCTTCTTGTTGCCTACACACTGTCAATAAGATACTCCAGTGCTCCATTTGGCTTTTACCTCCATCTCCAACAGCTATCACAAGCAATACATACCCCAACTTCATCACACTTACACTCCAGTGCAAAACCTTATGGAGTGCTAGAGTGTGGAGCTGGAGAGAATGAGATATGAAGAGGTTGTGGATGGCTATGATCTCTTTTAGAGATGGAACACTCTTCAGGACTTGAAATTAGATGAAGGTTTATAACCATCAGAGGAGTGAAGTTCTGGAATAGTCTTCTAAGGGAAGCAGTAGGGGCAAAAGACCTATCTGGCTTCAAGATTAAACTTGATAAGTTTATGGAGGAGATGGTATGATGGGATAACATGATTTTGGCAATTAATTGATCTTTAACTGTTCATGGTAAATAGGCCCAATAGCCTGTGATGGGATGTTAGATGGGGTGGGATCTGAGTTACTTCAGAGAATTCTTTCCTGGGTATCTGGCTGGTGAATCTTGCCCACATGCTCAGGGTTCAGCTGATCGCCATATTTGGGGTCGGGAAGGAATTTTCCTCCAGGGCAGATTGGAAGAGGCCCTGGGGTTTTTTCACCTTCCTCTGTAGCATGGGGCACGGGTCACTTGCTGGAGGATTCTCTGCACCTTGAAGTCTTTAAACCATGATTTGAGGACTTCAATAGCTCAGACATAGGTGAGAGGTTTATTGCAGGAGTGGCTGGGTGAGATTCGGTGGCCTGCACTGTGCAGGAGGTCAGACTAGATGATCATAATGGTCCCTTCTGACCTTAATGTCTATGAGGACCATATCCTTCCCTATCCATGAGATACCCTACCCCATCTATTCTAGTGCGAAGCTGTCTGAGAGGGAAAGCGACTACTCTTCACATTTTCTTTGTCAAGGGGCAATGGTGGTCCTGTGCCTTCTTTCCCGGAGTGGTGGTGATGTGACAGTGAGTCAGGCTTATCCTCTGTGGCCATGTTGAGCAATGTTCCTCTAATTTTTTAGGTCCATACGCAGAATGAATTTTGTTATGTGCACCAATACGGAGGTGATGTGTGGTGGGGGTGGAGCCAAGGGGTTTGGAGTGTTTGGAGGGGCTCAGGCTGGGGCAGAGGGTTGGGGTGCAGGAGGTGAGGGCACCAGCTGGGGATGTGGGCTCTGGGGTGGGGCTGGGGATGAGGGGGCTGGGTTTCAGGCTGCCCTGGGGCTGCAATGGGGAGAGAGGACTCCCCCCAGCCCTCTCTCTCCGCAGCACCCTGGGGCCGAGGGAGAGCACCTCTCCTTGCCTGCATGGCCCTTGATAACAAGCTGCGTGGCTGTGCAGCTTAGAGGGAACTTAGATATTGAGACTATCGCAGGGAAGGCTCAGGGACAGTTCACTAAGTTGGGCTTGTTGTTCCGGGCTGAGTTCCGGCCCCTCTGGCACAGAGGGAGGGTCAATGCCTCAGGTCCCAGTCTGGTTCTGGGGGTATCAAACTTTCCCAGGCTTTCTAGGTCTTCAGGAGGTTGTTGTGTTAAACAACCTTCTGTGGTGTGTCCTTCCGTTGCCTTGGCTGGTGGATTTTGTAGCTCACGAGACCTACCCTGGACCACCTCAAATGGCTTTTGCCACCAGGCCAGAAGCTTAGATTCCAAGGATGAGAGCAACAGTAATATCTGGTCACCTGGCTCAAACATCTGCAGTTGGGTCCCAGATTGTATAGGCCAGGGGTTCTCCAACTGGGGGTCGGGACCCCTCAGAGGGTCGCAAGGTTATTACATGGGGGGGTCACAAGCTGTCCGCCTCCACCCTAAACCCTGCTTTGCCTCCAGCATTTATAATGGTGTTAAATATATAAAAAATTGTTTTTAATTTATAAGGGGGGGGTCGCACTCAGAGGCTTGCTGTGTGAAAGGGGTCACCAGTACAAAAGTTTTAGAACCACTGGTATGGGCGTTCTTCAGTTCTTTGGGTTCTCAGTAGCTTCTCTCTGGTAAACCCCCCCGCCAGTGGCTTGAGTTGTTCCAATCGTTGCCGTATATATGCTAACAAGCCTATGACCCAGGCCTCTTGCTCCTCCCAAGTTTCCTGTAGGAGGTCCAGAATCCCCCTGCGCTGCCACCTGTGCAGGAGCTCAAAAGGGGAAAAACCCATAGAGGCTTGGGGTAGCTCACCTATGGCGAATAACAACACCAGTAATAGCCTATCCCAGTGTCATGGGTCAGAGTCAATGCATTTCCTTAGCATGAATTTCAGGCTGCTGTTGAATCATTCCACCAGCCTGTCGGTCTGTGGATGGTAGACTGATTTTCAGTAATTCACACGACTCTTTCATCAGCTGAGACAAGAGGTTGGACCCTCCATCCATGAGGATTTTCTTTGGGATTCTGACCCTGATGAAGACCTTCATTAGCTTGCACACTACGGCAGGTGCTGTTAAGAGGGCTTTCCCTTCACCCCCTCCCCTGGTTCTTGTCATTCAGACAGAAAGCAGAAGACCAGATGTCCGAAGTGCAGGCAATAAGATGTTTATTGGGGTTAGTTCAAAGCAAACATATCCATAGCTCTACACGCCCGCAGAGTCTGTTTCCCCAGTGTTCTGTTCCCAGCTCTGACACTGCAGAGCCTTGCCTGTGTCCCCATTCCCATTTGCCATTTCCCATTTCTCCCACCTCCTCCTTCTTAGCAGGCTCAAATATACCTGTAATGCACACCCCTAGTCACACCCCATACAACTTACGGTCATGTTCCATTTTGGATGGTCGTGAGTCAAGGGTCATTGTCCCACCTCTTTTGTACCCCATGCGAGGGGTAAGGAGTGAGGTTGTGTTCTGGCCAAGGCAGGCTTTTCTTTGGCTTTTAGTGTTTCTTATGCCTCCCCTACCCCATCCCCCTTTGCCCCTCCTAACTGATTGCTTGTCCTTGGCTTGAGAAAGGAGCCAAGCAGCCGTTCAGTTATGCTTATATATAGCACTCACACCATGCCCTGTAACACTTTAACTGCTCTATCCCTTATCTCTTCTCATTGTGTTAAAAGCCCCATCTGGTTGTGGAAAATGCAACACAGTGTCCTTCTTCACTGTTCTTCACACATATTAGTATAAGAGTATCAAAAAGTCAAACCCAAAATTCTATCTCAGGCTGACAAACAAGCCTGTATTCTAACAGGTGCCTTTGTCATGCACAATGGAATTGCCTCCAGATACCGGGTGGCATGGTCTACAATCACCAGTATATACCGGAACCCAGACCCACTTCTTTTTCAGGGGTCCCAACAGGCCCATTCCTACCCACTTAAACCATATTCTCATTATGGGAATTGGGATCAGGGGTGCCTTGGGCATCCTGTTGGGCCCTGTCAGCTGGCACCCAGGGCTTGAGGCACCGAAATTGCACAAAATCTTGTGGATGTCTGGCCAAAAAAACTGGAGGGCTACGCTTTGCAGTGTCTTCTCTCTCCCTAAGTGTCTGACACACGGCACTGAGTGGACAAGGTGTAATAGCTCCTGCCAGAATATCTTGGGACCTAACAGCTGCTGCAGCGTCTTCTGGGTTTGGGGGTCTTTTGTTACTTGGTGTCATAAATATAAAGGGAAGGGTAAACCCTTTAAAATCCCTCCTGGCCAGAGGAAAAATCCTCTCACCTGTAAAGGGTTAAGAAGCTAAAGGTAACCTCGCTGGCACCTGACCAAAATGACCAATGAGGAGACAAGATACTTTCAAAAGCTGGGAGGAGGGAGAAAAACAAAGGGTCTGGGTCTGTCTGTATGCTGTTTTTGCTAGGGACAGAACAGGAATGGAGTCTTAGAACTTTTAGTAAGTAATCTAGCTAGGTATGTGTTAGATTATGATTTCTTTAAATGGCTGAGAAAAGAACTGTGCTGAATAGAATGACTATTCCTGTCTGTGTGTCTTTTTTGTAACTTAAGGTTTTACCTCGAGGGATTCTCTATGTTTTGAATCTAATTACCCTGTAAGGTATCTACCATCCTGATTTTACAGAGGTGATTCCTTTACTTCTATTAAAAGTCTTCTTGTAAGAAAACTGAATGCTTTTTCATTGTTCTAAGATCCAAGGTTTTGGGTCTGTGGTCACCTATGCAAGGGTTGGGAGGATTTTGGGGGGAAAGACGTGTCCAAACTACATTTCCCAGTAAACACAGTTAAAGTTTGGTGGTGGCAGTGGAAATTCCAAGGGCAAAGGGTAAAATTAATTTGTACCTTGGGGAAGTTTTAACCTAAGCTGGTGAAAGTAAGCTTAGGAGGTTTTCATGCAGGTCCCCACATCTGTACCCTAGAGTTCAGAGTGGGGAAAGAACCTTGACACTTGGTACAGTCTCTTGTTGTGGATTTCAAATTGCGGTCCCTTTGATGTCCAAGATCCTCACTCCCCTCCCTGTCAGAGGTAACTATCTGGTCACAGGCATGACTTAGGTTCTGGTCTTCTCTCTGCTCCCACCCAAAGTCCCTGTTGTTCATCAAGCATTCTTAGCCTGTCTCGTCTAATGCCTCCACTTCTGTGGGGCACGAACATTAGTGGCTCTGCCTGGTCTGAGGGACTCTCACCTGAGTCCTTCATCTCCTTTCGGTCCATGAACCCCCTCACTTTTGTGCCTGGGTTTGTTTCTTTGGGAGTGGTTGCCACTCCGTTGCTTCAGGATCTCCTGGCCCCTGCCAGCATGCTCCTTTCTAGGATGGTGTGTCTCCTTCTCTCTGGGATTTTTGGTCTCCCTTGTGTACCGCTTCAATATTCAGATTCTTCCCTCTGGCACAGGGTACCTCT